TAATCTGGAGGAAACAGTTTTTGAACCAATGATTGGGGCACTGGCAACTTTGCCGTCATCCTTGGATCCATCTGTGAATATGGTGCGGTGAGAATTATATTTAGAGCATAACTGGACATATTTTTGCTGAAAGATTAACTGGTTTGTATCAGATTTCTTGAAATTGGTAAGTGTAAGATCTACTTCTGGTTTGACCAATTGCCAAGGAGGCGTGGACAGTAAACGGTAGGGTGCAATAATATCAAGGTCTATATGAGCTGCTGTTACATGGGGTCGTAATTTGATCCCCAGAGGTTGAACCAGTTTTGGTTTAGTTTGGAATAACTCCTTGTAGAGAGGATTAAAAACACAACCATATGCTGGATTGGACGGGTTCGATTTTAGTTTTGTGACATACTGTAATGCAAGTTTTAAACGACGTTGTTTCAACGGAGGCTCATCAGCCTCTATATACAGACTATCGACAGGAGTGGTCCTGAAAGCTCCAAGACAGAGTCTCAAGCCCTGGTGATGAATTGTATCTAGTTTCTGTAAATTACTTTTACAGGCTCCACCATAAATGATGGAACCGTAGTCTAATTTTGAGCGGATCAAAGATCTGTATAAATGGAGAAGGGTTGTCTGATCCCCGCCCCACTTAGAGTTTGATACGACTTTCAATAAGTCTAATGCTTTCAGGCACTTTGCCTTAAGATATTTAATATGTGGCAAGAATGTCAGGTGGCGGTCAAAAATAAGCCCCAAGAACTTGGTCTCCTCAACTACCTTTATGGGTGTCTCAGATAGAAATAGTTCAGGGTCCTTGTGCTGTCTATATTTCCTGCAGAAGTGTATACAATTAGTTTTTGTTTAAGAAAATTTAAAGCCGTTAGCAAGCGACCATTTCTGGATTTTATTGAGACACAACTGCAGTTGTCTCTCAATAGTGTTCATGGTTTTTTTCCGCGACAAGAAATGTTAAAATCGTCCACAAATAACGACCCATCAACTGAATCATTCAAAACTTTTGACAGACTGTTTATCTTGATACTAAATAATGTTACCCTGATCCTGAGTATAATGGTCAGACAGGGTTGAACCCACTCGGACTTGAAATTGTCTGTCTGTTAAAAACTGTGATATAAAATGAGGCAAACGGCCTCTCAAACCAAAATCATGTACATCCTTTAGATCGAAAAAGACTGACACTACATGCTGTTTGTTTACAATAGCATTTTTCACAAAAGGATTCTAAGCGTACTAAATGGTCGATAGTACTTCGATTTTTTCGGAAACCACATTGGATATTTGTAATTAGATTATTGGTTTCCAGATACAAAAATTAATCTATTATTCACCATTCGTTCCATGGTTTTTCACACGCAACTTTTTAAGGATATAGGTCTATAGTTAGAGGGATCTGTATGATGCCGGCCAGGCTTTGGTATTGGAACGACAATGGCATTATGCCATGAAAGAGGAAAATTCCCAGATATCCATATTTGATCAAATATAACTTAAAGTGTCTCCAGACAAGATTCAGGTAAATGTTTTAAAAGCTGATAATGTATGTTGTCAGCTCCCGTTGCTGTGTCATGAGCTTGCCCAAGGGCGGTGTGTAGCTCATGTAATGAGAAGACTTCATAATAGTCTTCACCATTATCAGAAGTGAAATTTACTTTGATCTTTTCCTGTTGTCGCTTATTGTGTTTAAAAGCACGTCGTGCCTTGGCATTTGTAATTTTAACCTTTTCCAAATTATGGACTGTAGGATGTCGGCGAAAATATTTTTCTGCTTTCTTCCTACACTTTCTGGCCTGTTTGCAGTCATTAGTAAACCATGGTTTACGAATATGGGGATTGCATAGGACTTAGGAATGGTTTGGTCAGCAATGTCATTCAGTAAATCCGAAAACAACTGTATCGGATCTGGAATATTCTGGAAAATATCATGTTTTATTTTGTCAGTACACAGTACCTCATATAAGGACCAATTAGCCTTGGTGAAGTTCCATCTGCATTCATGAGCTCAATACTGCCCTTGGGCAAGCTCATAGTACTGCTACAGGGTCTGATAATATACATTATCAACTCTTAAAACATCGACCGCAATACTGTTTAGAAACCCTCTTGATGATATTTGATAAAATCTGGACGTCAGGAAAATTTCCTTCTTCATGGCGTGATGCTATAATTGTTCCCATACCAAAACCTGGACGTGATCATACTGATCCTTCCAATTATCGACCAATTTCATTGGCCAGTTGCGTTTGCAAAACCATGGAACGCATGGTCAATAACAGATTAACCTGGTACATGGAATCCAATAACTTAATCACAAATATCCAATGTGGATTTCGTAAAAATCGCAGTACCATTGACCACTTAGTTCGACTGGAGTCATTCGTAAAGAATGCCATTGTAAATAAGCAGCATGCAGTGTCTATCATTTTCGATCTAGAAAACAGCATATGACACTACATGGAAGCACGGTATTTTAAAAGATTTACATGATTTTGGATTGCGAGGCCGTTTGCCTCAATTTATATCCATGTTTTTAACTGACAGGCAATCCCGCGTGGGTACAACCCTGTCTGATCATTATAATCAGGATCAGGGTGTCCCACAAGGCAGTATTTTGTCAGTCACTTTGTTTAGCATCAAAATCAACAGTTTAGCAAAGGTTTTAAACGATTCAATTGATGGATCGTTGTTTGTGGATGACTGTAATGTTTCTTGCCGTGGTAGGAACATGCATACAATTGAGAGGTAAATGCAATTGTGTTTAAATAAAATCCAAAAATGGTGTTTAGAAAATGGCTTTAAATTTTCAAAATCTAAAACTAACTGTATTCATTTTTGCAGAAAATATAAACCTCACAAAAACCCAGAACTAATTTTAGATAACTACCCCATTAAAGTTGTAAAAGAAGCGAAATTTTTGGGTATAATTTTCGATCATCATTTAACCTTTTTACCACATATAAAATACTTAAAGTATAAATGTCTGAAAGCCCTAGACTTGTTAAAAGTTGTCTCTAATTCCAAGCGGGGAGGGGATCAGAAAACCCTCCTCCAACTATACAGAGCTCTTATACGCTCTAAACATGACCACGGCTCCATCATCTATGGTGGGGCTTGTAAGAGCAATTTAAAATTATTAGACACCATTCATCACCATGGCCTGAGGCTTTGTCTTGGAGCCTTCCGAACTTCACCTATTCACAGTTTGTATGTGGAGGCTGATGAGCCATCCCTTAAACACTGATGCATTAAATTGCATTAAGTATATCTCTAAATTACGTTCTACTAAATCTAATCCAGCGTATGACTATGTGTTTAATCCACTTTACGAAAATCTCTATAATAAAAAATCTTCTCTTATTCCACCACTTGGAATAAGAATACAATCTGATATTTCTGCTGCGCAAATCAATCTGGGAAACATTGCCCCCTCTCAGCTTTTCTCTTCTCCACCATGGCAGTTAGTGAAGCCAGAGGTGGACTTAACATTATCTCATCTCAAGAAATCCGACACATATCAACTAATTTATCAACAGGAATATAATGAATTACGAAGCACATATGATACTTATAAATCTATATTTACATATCGATCCAAGGATGTGACGCTGTTGCCAGCGCCACCGTCATTGGATCCAGCACTATCTCATCCCGGTTACCAGATAACTGTTCTATTTTAACAGCAGAAGCAAATGCTATTCTAACAGCACTAAATTATATCAACAATCAAATTAAACATAAAGAATTCATCATTTTTTCAGACTCTCTTTCTTGCCTTCAGGCTATTAAAAACATGTCTTCCACACATCCAATTTTAATAGAACTTATTGAATTGTTTAATCATCTTGCTACTGGCCAATACGACATCGTTTTCTGTTGGTTGCCCAGCCATGTCGGAATCACTGGGAACACAATGGCCGATGCTGCTGCGAAGGCAGCCCTCAACAAATCTGTGAGTGAGTGAGTGAATTTGACTTTACGCCGCTTTTAGCAATATTCCAGCAATATCACGGCGGGGGACACCAGAAATGGGCTTTACACATTGTACCCAACAAATCTGTGACGCCACTTCTTGTCTCTTATAGCGATATCAAATCTCTCATTAGATGTTACATCCGAGATTTGATGCAAAAGAAGTGGGACACCCAGGTAGGTGTAAATAAATTACATGACTTTAAGCCAAATATCGGTTACACCTACTTGGGTTGTCAGTCCAGAATTGAAGAGGTCGTATTAAGACGATGTCGTATTGGCTATTCTCGTTACACAAATAAATATCTGTTGAAAGGTGAGGATCCTCCGTTCTGCATCCCTTCTGATGAAAGAATCACGGTCAAACTTAAAACTTAACTCACTCACTCACTCACTCTGCCAAATAAGAATATGGTTTACTCGAGGCAACGTATATGTCCTAAAAAAAGTTACCATTTTAACAAGGCCAGTGAAACAAATGTTTTGTTATGATGAGTTACCCAATTCGGCCGCCTTGTAATTCATTTAATAAATCTGCAGTATATATTAATGTCACATTTATTTTCCATATCTAACATGCATATTATACATTATTTGATAGCACACAAGACACATCTATTGCAAGGTGGTATCTAATAAGACTACTGTTATACACCCTGTATGGCTTCAAATCAAAATAATTGTCATCATAGTAAATATATCAAAGAGATACTCAATCCAATTTAAATGTAATGCTTCTGTTGAAAGTAAACTACGTGTGTCATTCAAGGGAGTTGTTTTCATATATATTTCACTCCATTTTCTTGTTTTGCACCATACTGTGCTATTTGATTTGCTTACGAAAACTGCTTACATGTGCATGAAATTACGCTCATAGCTATGCTCAACTCTCATATCCACTCACAAAATATGGCCCAGTTAAAGAGTGCTAATTAAAAAGAGGTTCTTGATTCGAATAAAGTAGGTTAAAGTTTGTCCTTTTAAGTTCTATAAAAGGCGAGAAATATGCAGCATTCAACACATCTCTATCTTGTCGGCAAACTGGTAAGTATCAGATATGTTATATTCATCTTCCTAATTCATAATCACTTAGATACACCCAAGTAAATGACTCCCAGAATTCAAGCTTGTCATATTAGTATTGCTTCATCACATTCTTAAAGGGTACATGGATGCCCTTAAGGCGTCGCAAGTTTCTAAGCAGATTTTCGTCCAATTTAATTCTGACAAGAGGCCAGATTTATCTTACTTATTACCATGCATGTGGGGTTCATTAAAATAGTATATATATTGTACATCATTGTGGGTTTCCATACATTGCTGACATGCCACAATATTGTGATTCAACTTAAAGGGTATGTGCCTTGTTGTTAAAGTGATGAACCTGGGATGACCTCAAGGGATGACCTCAAGGGATGACCTCAACTCAAATATGCCAAAAGCCATGAAGTCAGAATGTTTGGTAACAGTTTGTCACCAAATGTGTTGTTTTGTTGATGACAACTTTTCTTTTCTTTTAGTGAACATCAGGATGAAACATCTGTTTGCTGTAGTGTTGGTCGCATTGGTGTTGGCTGTTGCACAGGCCACCTATCAGCATGGAAAGGGTTATCATGGTTATAAAAAATATGACTACCCAGGCCAGAAGTATGACAGATATGATTACCCCAACGAAGGGTATTACCATGGCAGATATGACTTCCCCCACCAGAAGAATGGCCACGGTTACAACAGATATGATTATCTCTACCAGAAGTACTACTAGGTATGTATCAAATAAGATTTCATTGATGACGTTCAACGTTTCTTCAGTGGAATGATGTGATATCAAAACTCCATTAGAGTACCCTTTTTGCACTGTAAGTCCCCATGATCCCCAGTTAGGTGGTCTAGCTTTGGTTGCCAGTGGTCTATAGCCTGGTTTTACTTTCCAATAACTAATTGACTGAAAACTTCTTTGTTTTACTATTCCTCAGGTATGTTTTATGTCTACAATGTGATATTTACCTTACTGTTTTAGTGTCCTTTGGCGACAGGAAAAGTATAATAATAAACTCACTCATTTACAGTACCCTTTTATAATAAAACGAGACCACGGAACGTGGAGAGAACGTTTGCATGGAGAGGGAAAAGGCGGTTGTTCGATCATCTGGCCATGTCACATAAAAAATTCAACTTCTTTTCCCTGCTTTGTGTTCGGCATTTGTCCTGGCGTTTGGACTGATCGGCTCGTCTCAGGGTATAGTCCAGACTAATACCCGTTTTACTGTGCTAGCCTACTGAGATACCATGTCGCATTTATCACACTTAGAACCAGTATATTTACTGCTCACCCACCAGTTCTTCCTTTATCCCCTCAATGCCAAGCACCAGGCATTGTAACAAGTAACATGGTTTAATGCAGCCGGGGCTCGAACCGGCGATCTTCCTCTCTCCGTGCAGACACCCTGATCACTTGGCCACGGATGCGTTTGAGCACCTCAAATTTATTGTGTAAGGTGCAAAATAAAACACACTATTAAAACTGCTCACGTCTCATCTCAAGTATCATTTTATGTTCTTATGTTTTATGTTTCAATTAATATTTGAACCTACATTTTATAGTCTTATTTTCTAAATATAACAGATTTTATATTTGGAGAGAGGGTTCCTAGGAGTTATGGTCTACTGCCAATATCCACAAAGATCTCAAAGTCTACGACATTGTATCTGTATATCTAGAGTATTGATTTACTGACAGGTAGCAATTATCAGGACGAAAAATCGTGACTTAGAAACTGAGTGTAACAGTGCAGAGTGCATTCTCTTTTAGTACTGCTTTCATCACAAAATCGGCAATACACAAGACGTCACCCAGATATGGCTTCAAAAGTATATTTGTTCTTATTTTTCAGTGTTCTTCACTGAGGGAATGTTCACGCTGAAGAATATCAGATGGAACAATAAATCACCATAGCATTTATCTGTTTTCTGTTGTCTCTATGTTTAGATACATGCCTGTCATTCACTTGTATTCCATTAATTTGGTTATATGGAATTGGAATTAACCCCAAAAATGTGGCTTCCTCCACAATTTTGATTGCAGTACCATCTAAATACAGCTCCAGTTTGTCTTGGATTTGGAAAACTTTAAACCATTTTCAAGATACCATTTCTGAATTATGTTAAGACACAGTTGCAGCTGTATCTTAATGGTATGCATATCTTTAACACGAAAAAATATATTAAAATCATCCACAAAAAGTGATCCATCAATTGATTTATTTAAAACCTTTGAAAGACTATTTATTTTAATACTAAACAAGCATGAAATACTCATATCCCCCGCCAATATGTCATGTCCGTCTGTGTTCAAGGCATTTTGTAAATGGAACTTGTTCAAACATACACAGCAATACCTTGTGTAGTGTCTCCTGGATAGATTTGATATCATTGGAGGTCTCTTTCACTGTAATCATCAATGTGAGTTTCAGTGAAACACAAAACATGAACCACACCAACAAACTTATCCTTCTTCAGATCTTCGAAATGAGCATTGAGGGATCGAACATTCAAGTGAGCCACCTTGAGTCCAGCACCATGACTGTCCTCTACAGGTTGTGTCCAGGTGAACAGTATTTCATTCCGAAATCTAGTCATCTCATCCAATGCTTTTTTGGTTTACTACAACTTTACTACAAGTTTTAGGCCTTTCCTTGATTTGACCCTACTGAGCATTGTGTACACTTGACCAGGCTGGGCAAAAATTTACTTCCTTGTGTAAGTGTATATACCTTGTCCAAGTTCCTTTGTCAAGTGGTATACATCTCAATTAGGTAATTATGGTAACGGTTCTCAGACAATCCTGCGTCGATGTTTTTGTAGAATTTGTAAACGGTTTTCGAGTTATGCTCTTGCTAAGGAAACATTTGTAAAAACTATAAAAAGGCACCAGTTTACCACTAGACCTATGTATATGCCAAGTTTGGTGAAGAAATATTGTACGGTTTTCAAGATCTGCTCGGGCGGTCGGGAAGCCTAGTGGTAAAACATTTGCCGTTCACGCTGAAGACCCGGGTTCGATTTCCGACATGGGTAAAATGTGTGAAGCCCATTTCTGGTGTCCCCCGCCGTGATATTGCTTTAATATTGCTAAAAGTGGCCCAAAACCATACTCACTCACTCAAGATTTGCTCCGGTAACGAGCACAACCGCCATTTTCAGTCTAAGTCAAAGTCGTTGCCAGGGAAATTAGAAAAAAATACATTTTTCAAAAATCCCAAACTATCAAAAGGCACCAGTTCACCTCTAGACCTATTTATGTGCCAAGTTTGGTAAAGATATCTCTCGTGGTTTTTGAGTTCTACTCCGGAAACGAAACAATGATGGACGGACGGACGGACGGAATCCATTCCTATATCCCCCTTCCACTTCGTGGCAGGGTTAATAAAGAGCAGCCCAAGAGCTAGAATAGAAGGCGCTACTACATCAAGATCCACCATGTAGTTATGTCTCTCCCCTCAAACTGTCCCCTGCCAGCGCTCTCCTTAATGCCCGAATCCGTTCTGGAGCATTCTCAGCAAGAGAGATGTTGACCCAACGAGATCAGTCTGCAAACACACAAGACTTAATCAACATAATCAACAGATTGCTAACTACCTGCTGACCAGCAGACATCTATTGGCATTGTGACATTGTGTACATACGTACCAATTGATCCAAATCCTGTGTTAGAAACAGATATATCGTTACTGGAAGGATGTGGGCAACATTCGAAAGTTCACTGGTGCAAAGCTACTTAATATGTGATATAGACATGTTGTCTCATCTGATTCTTCATTCGACAAACTCACCACCAACTTCTGCCAATACTTCCACCGATCCCACCTTATCTCTCTAAACCTCCTTCTTGGCTCTTCCTACTCTTGAGGGGCGGTCGGGTAGCCTAGTGGTTTAAGCGTTCGCTCGTCAAGCCGAAGACCCAGGTTCGATTCCTGACATGGGTACAATGTGTGAAGCCCATTCCTGGTGTCCCCCGCCGTGATATTGCTGGAATATTGCTAAAAGCGGCGTAAAACCATACTCACTCACCCACTCCTACTCTTGAATAATGAAACTGGAGTGGGTCCCACGACACTGTCATTAAATGCCCTGGAACCTTCCTTGATGAGTGGTTCAAGTCGTCGGTTACCAAAACAACTTATTGACTATGCTCTAGACCATTAGTCACCACTTTCCAAGTTCATCTCGTTTCAACATTTTTCATATAAAATTGTATAGGATGGGATAGAATAATCCCTCGAGACAAGAGGTCAGTCTCCATGTGGGGTTGCTGAAGTACAGTATTAGTTTCTGAAAGCTAGTGTTTAGAATGAGGCACGTTAACCCCCTTAGACTGGACGGCACTCTACCCTGAGATACTCCTTATTCGACATGTGTTATTTTCCTTTGATGATTTATGTTTCACATTCATTGTCAAGGTGAAGTTACGAAATTACGTCAGTTGGGTGTTTTGTGGTATTATGTACATGTATTGGCAATAGAGTCAGTTCACACACAAAAGCGTGTATTGCTATGTACTTTCTGTTGTTGATTATTACGTCGATGTTCCATTTGGTTTGCTGACTAAAACTGCATGTTTGGTTCGAAAGCTTTTGGTTTTGTACCATCAGTTTTAGTTCGTAAAGTACATGCTAAATTATTCAACGCTGACGATGAGCCAATGGACAAACTTAACCAGCTGCGTCTGTGTCAAAATGAGGTTGCAACTGCAGTTCTAGATGGCATGGATAGAAAACACTTGAATCCATGTGGTGACCGAATCACCGATGATAATGGAATATTTCATGTTGAGAGAGTTTTTCAGTTATTTGGCTAAAATCTTTCGTGGAAATGTCACTGCTACAATACAAGTGAGTGAGTGAGTGAGGTAATGCTTTACGTCACATCGGCAATATTTCAGCCATATCGTGACGAGAAATTAGACATGAAATATACATATATTTAAACTTTATAAAAATCTGTCATCAAAGGACTGTATGAGAACTAGAATATCACAGATAAGATTTAAAACTAGTTGCAGAACAGTTAAAAGCATTAAGTATTAAGGAACAACACAATATAAAAATGGGCTAGAGATCGTCAGTAACTAAAGGGAGATCACCACACCAGGGACCATGGGGACTTACAGTACCTTTGCTACCTGCATGGGCCCTGGCAGGATTTATATCACCCTACAGTCACTGACGATAATTGACCAGTTAAGCCTAAGATTAAAATGACAAAAACACTACGTTTAAAAGCCTGGCATGCATAAAAATACTTTGAATGATTTGGGACTTACATACCCTCTTAGGGGGACAATAATTTTACGCTACTTCAACCACCCTCGAGGGTACAGCCACTAACAATCTAAGTTATTAATTAGCACTACCAATGTCTAAAAACTTATTATGGACATCAAAATTTATGAATTAATTCAATTTCTTTTAAAAAGCACAATATTAAATGAGAGTGTACGTGATTAAAAAGGTCCTTTACTGTTTTTACATGATAATATTTATCCCTTGTGATGGAAACATCAATACAATCAAGCAGGACATGCTTGACTGTGATTCTTTCATCACAAGGGATGCAAAACGGAGGATCCTCACCGTTCAAAAGATACTCATGTGTATATCTTGAATGGCCAATACGACATCGTCGCATAATGACCTCTTCAAATCTGGATTGACAGCCCAAGTAGGTATAACCGATATTTGGTTTAATTTCATGTAATTTATTGATACCTACTTGGGCGTCCCACTTCTGTTGCATAAGATTTCGGATGTAAGATCGAATCATAGGTTTAAAATCAGTGTATGGGATCAGAAGTGGTGTCACAGATTTGTTGAGGGCTGCTTTTGCAGCAGCATCGGCCATTGTGTTACCATGATACCAACATGGCTTGGTAACCAACAAAAGACGATGTCATATTGGCCAGTAGCAAGATCAGTAAATAATTCCAGAATTTCGATTAAAAGTGGATGTTTTGATGACATTTTTAATCGCCTGAAGGCATGAAAGAGAATCTGAAAACAGTATAAATTGTTTATGTTTAGCTTGATTACTGATATATTTAAGTGCTGTAAAAATGGCGTTTGCTTCTGCAGTGAATATGGAACTGTTATCAGGTAAACGTGAAGATATTGTTCTGGATCCAATGACGGTGGCACTAGCAACTGCGCCACCATCCTTGGATCCATCTGTAAAGATAGATTTATAAGTGTCATAATTGTTTCTTAGTTGATGGTATTCTTGTTGGTAAATTAATTGGTTAGTATCAGATTTCTTTAATTTTGTTAATGTAAGGTCTACCTCTGGCCGTACCATTTGCCAAGGAGGTGTTGAAAACAGTTGAGTGGGAGCTATATCTTGCAGTTGAATATTGGAAGCAAACATGGCAGACTGGATTCTGATTCCGAGAGGTGGAACAAGAGATGACTTTTTATTGTAAATATCTTGGTAAAGAGGATTAAAGACGCAATTAAAAGCTGGATTGGACTGATTGGAATATAATTTAGTGACATATTGTAAAGATAATTTTAGACGGCGTTGTGTAAGAGAAGGTTCATCCGCTTCTACATACAGACTGTGAATTGGAGACGTCCTGAAGGCACCAAGGCAAAGCCTCAGGCCCTGATGATGTATCGTATCAAGTTTTTTTAAATTACTTTTACAGGCTCCACCATAGACGATGGAGCCATAATGAAGTTTTGAACGCATGAGTGACCTGTATAAGGTTAAGAGGGTTGTTTGATCCCCTCCCCACTTTGAATTAGAAACAACTTTCAATAGATCGAGTGCCTTCAGGCATTTAGCTTTTAGGTATTTAATATGCTGGAGGAAAGTTAAGTGATGATCAAAAATAAGTCCCAAGAACTTGGCTTCCTTAACTACTTTGATAGGGGTGCCATTCAGAAATAGTTCAGGGTCCTTATGCGG